ACCCACAGAATTATGCTCGTTTCAAGCAGCTACTAGCCTTGCTGTGAATAATAAAAAGTGGGGACCTTGCAGCTGACTCCACGTTCCTCACCCATCCTTCCCTCCTGTTAGCCCTACGAGGTAGTCCAAACAAGGAGCCCAACCAGGAGTATTTGCTCTGTCTTTATTGCCAGGTTACATTAACAGAATCTTGCAAGTCTGAAAGTATTTCTCCCCTCCTTTCCTTTTACTCTCTGGAAAAGTAGGGAGGGTCCCTTCTGAGATGCTTCCCACGCCCCTTTTCCTTCTGTGGGCTGAGACGCCTTTTCTACGTCTGTTCTCCAGCCTGCGGCTCTTCCTCCTGTCTCCCAAGGCCGTTCCCACCGACCATTACACCTCCATACTGCTTGTGCCCTGGACGCCCAAGGTTTCGAATCCCAGCCAGCATGGGAAACAACTTAGTGCCCCACCCATTACCTTGGGTACCTGCCCTCGATGTGAGTACCTGCTTGGTGTCTAACTAACCAAAGCTCTGCCAATTTCATGTGCCCACCGTTCCTTTGGCTACGGGAGAATGTGCCATGCTGGGCTCCAGTTAATACACCCAAGACAGACACAGATTCCTGCAGGAGTCAGAATACACACCAGTTCTGAAATGGCTTCTTTTCCTTTAGCTGGTGGTGAACACAACTGATAGTGAACCTTGCTCCACCCACCAGCTACCAAATTCACTCTTGTGGCCTGTGTTTCTCAGACACGCTTCATTCTTCCTAGTTTTCCTGTGTGGGAGGCCTCCTTCAGAGATGTTTCTCTTGAGTAACCATGGCTCCCAGCTTCCCTCCACTGTTGCTTAATTTCCTCTAATTTAGTTTTTGGGCACTGACCGACGTTGCCAAGGTCAGCCAAGCTGGCGGAAAAAACTCTGCCGTGTCCAATCGTGCCAGACCCCATCAAGTGGTTCCTCTCCCTTTTGACACACCTATTGCAGGTGCCGGATCAACTCAAGAGCCTTTACAGCAATGCAAAAACCAAAAAAAGCCGTTTTGAGAGTGGATTTTAGTTGCCTTGTAGTTTTAGCTGAGAAACACCCTCTAGCTGAGGCAAGACCTGCAATAAAGCAGGTGTGTAACCTGAACCCCCTGGGGCTGTGTAAGTCTCCAGAAAGTCTTGGGTGCGACTGCTGGAGAACCACAATAGCGGTATTCAAATTCTAATTTTTGATAACGATCAAAGGAGGGTATGCTGTGTTTTGAGTTCAGATTAGTTTAGTTCAGCTTTGGAAAGGGTCTGCTCGAATCCTTTAACCTGCAGAAAGTTTTGCATCTGGAATTAAAGGATCCACTGAAAAGTTGGGAGAACTGCTCCCATTGAGAAGAGCTGGGCAAAATTGGCCAAAGTCTAATTCTGCATCAGGTAGCCTCCTGTTTCCTTTGATATTCTGATCAGCTCTTCCTTTTCAACCTAATTTGTATGCAGCCTTTGAGAATGGCCTCTCCAAGTATCCAGCTGAGATAGACAGAAAACCAACCAGCTTGACCAGGAAAGACTTGAATCTAGATTTTTAATTGCGCCCACCCCACCAGCCAGCCCGGTTTCTTAAGCTGAAACTTTCTTTAACTCTCCTTCTGCGGTCTTCTGTGTAAGGCTCTGGAGTTTATTAGAGATGCTAAACCAGACAGGTGTTTTTTACTTGCTTTGCTGAAGACACACAAGTGCTGGCTCTTTGAAGTAGGCCAGGTCAAGAAGCAGAGACTCCAACAATGCTCCTTTATTGTTGTAGAGTATAATAACAAAATCTGGAAAACCTGTCTAGATTTTTGTCTGTCCTATCTGACACTAAATAAAACCAAGGCAGAGTTCTGCTGAGTTTCTTTCTCACACTTGCTTCAAACTCTGGGCCGGTGCAATCTTTGCTGCAATTCCCTCTTAACAGTTTGCTCCTCCATTCCCCAAAGTCAGCTCCACATTCAACAAAAACTCTGCATACAAAATGCAACCACCCAACTTAAATTTCCAAGGGGCAAGTCCGTTCCCTTTTGTTCACTTTTGGCCCCTCCATTCCTTTTTTTTTTAAATAGTAATTTTATTAAGAATTACAGTGGCAATGATAAAAACCAATACAAACTGAAACAAATAAAAGAATAGAGAAAAATCCTTTGAGAGCCTTCCAGAAGCATCTGTAGATGCTACACAATGATCTGTAGGTCACTGTGAGGAGCAAGATGCTGGACTAAAATAGGCCTTTGAGAGGCTCTTCCAGTTTGCAATCACCATCTCAAGTCATCCACTGGTTGGGCTAGCTCAGTGTTGTCCAAACTTGGCCACTTTAAGATGAGTGGACTTCAACTCCCAGAATTCCCCCAGCCATGCTCATGAAGTCCACTCATCTTAAAGTGGCCAAGTTTGGACAACACTGGGCTAGCTAGAAGGGTTGAGAACACTGCAAGTTCTTCCAGGGAGTTGATCCATTCCAAAAATGGTCAGATTTGACCAGGATTGGACTAGGTGATCTCTGTGGCTCCTTCCTGTGATTCCATGCTAGTTTTTACATAGTTAAAGCTGGTCCCGTTCTCCAGTTGTCACGTTCATCAGGGTTTCCAGGTTTGCATAATTCCCACAGGCACCAATATGCTTCCAGATGCCTCCCTTGGTATCTGCCTCACCTCCATTTGATTTTTTTTTTCAGATTCTTTAATTAAACACAATTAAACCAAACAGGAAACCAGCCAGCTGCACACAAAACATCCGCCTTCGCCTTCCAGTTTTATTTCCAAGAAAGTATGAGTCCCTTATAAGGCATTCTTGGAGAAGAAAAAACAATGGGTGACTCAATCCAGCACGTTGTTGGAAGGAGAGTAAACCAAAAAGGTCCATGATCGTTCAGGACATCTTTGTTCTTTTTTTCTGAGCAGATGCTTAAGTGGACAAACCCAACACGGCAGTCATTTTGTAAATGTCCAGTGGCAGCCATTTGGGGAGAAGGCTCTTGACCTCTCTCCAAACGTTCTTCCTGCCCCTAAAGTCAAAGCAGCCTTCCCAAGTTCTCGATCGCGCCTTCTGCCTTCCTGTCTTCCTGCAGTTGTACCTGCATTCAGCAACCATGAGAAACTGCAGCTTATGGTTTTCTCTCATGGGAACAGAGTCCTGGTGGGCAAGATCTTCTCAAGATCTTGGGCTGGTCTTTTGAGTTTTGTCTTTGGCCCTGCCCTTGTTTCTGCTTGCTGAGTGAATGGAAATCACAGAGTAAGAAACAATTTTGGAGTCACCTAACTCCCTCTGGCTTGGTCCCTTGGGGATGGTGTTTTGTACCAAGAAGAAAAGAAAGTCTTGGTTTATTCTTTCCTGCAGCATCGTCCTTTGCTTTCTCCTGCTGTTATCGTCAAAAGCTTGGGGTTTGCTTACTCCTCCTGGCTGAGGCAAGGGTCAGTAGTGATAGGAGAATCAGGTGCAACCCTCGGAGGTAGGTTGGGTGTTTACTAACTTGAGAACGTCTCCTTTGTAAGCGGACCACATCCTGCAGCGTGGGTTGGGTTGACTTTCACAGCTGTGGAGGAGAAGAGATGGCCGTTTTGGTCCCTGATGGTCAATCAAGAATGAAAGTGGGAGGTGGTTTCCCATCAACAAAAGCATGATGTGGTGCCTTTGGCATGTCTGGAGTCTGGACATTGTGGCTTCAATTAAAAAAAACGTGGTTTGATGCCAGATGGGCAACTTTTTATCTGGTTGAGGGAAAGGCCTGGGTGCATTTCATGCAAGGGTCTTTAAAATGAGGCTGAGAGCTTGCGTGGAAATCCAAGGCTGGATTTTGCCTGCTGCTGACTCCTATTGGTGGGTAGATCTAAACGCTGCTCTTATTGTGGCCAGAGAATTTGGCACTCCTACTGCTAACTGTAGCTGCTTCTCCTGTTCAAAGTGTTGAGCCCTCTTTGGTAGCCTTGATTTTAGTCCTTATGACGTGAGGGAGAAACCTAGAAGCAATTCTGTAGGCAGCGAGAAACGCCTGGAGATTCCAGTGGTGAAGAAGTAGGACTTTGAGACAACCATCAGACTGTAAAGTTTGTCCCCGCAAGGACAGTCCTCTTAGGGACGTAGGAAATTTCCAAATGAAACAGTTGAATTGCCAGTCCCTGTGTTGGATTTGGGGAGTCTAAGAAAAGTTGTTTCCAATCACCAGATACAACTGAAGTCTTTGGGCTGGAGCTGCTAAAGTTTGAACTTGTGCATCTAACACTCCCAGGGTCCCGAGCTGTTCCGTAAACAATTTCTGTTTTTCATCTCAGCCATGATTTGAAATCTTCCACACTCCTTCATCTCAATTTGTCTGTTTTGCAGAATGTTTTCTGTTTCTGGTTGCCCAATATGTGCAGGTCATCCTTAGATGTATCTTCTTGGAAGACAACCACACTGAACTCTAGACCTCTTGATTAGACATCATGACAAAAGTATAATTATGGATACCCTGAACAGAGAGAGAAAAAAGTGTCCTGGTGACAGATGAGTGGTGACAAAGATATCTGGAAAGTGTAAGGAACAAGAGTCTTGTGGAAAGTGAGTTGCTAAAGTGTGTAAATGGTTGATAGGAGACAACAGTGTTCAACAATCTCCTCCACTCTGGTGCCACCAGATGTGTTGGGACTACAATCCCAGAATTCTTAGCCAGTGTGTCCCAACACATCTGGAAAGTGCTAGGTTGAGGAAATTGAGTGTCACTGTATACCACTGAGTTCACCAAGTTCTCATTGTCAACCCAACCAGCATTATGGGGTTTTGCTGTGAGAATAGAGCTCTCCGTATATAATCTTGAGCTTTCAGAAACAAAGCAGGATACAAATGAAGTAAATCAGTAAGGATTTTATCTGATGTAGCAGATCCATTTGCAGAGATCTGTTGCCTGCCTATAACTTGGATTAGAATTGGACCTTCTGCTTAACACAACACCGATCTTCCCTCAGACTCTTTGAATGCCAAATAGCACTTCCTTTTGTTGGTTACATCTCTTTATAGTTTTCTCTCTTTTTCAGGTGAGCCATGATTCCAGTCACGGAATTGCGTTACTTTGCCGATACCCAGCCGGCGTATCGTATCCTGAAGCCCTGGTGGGACGTCTTTACAGATTACATCTCCATCGTGATGTTAATGATTGCAGTATTTGGTGGGACACTACAAGTCACCCAGGACAAAATGATTTGTTTGCCTTGCAAATGGGTTACCAAAGATGCTTGCAACGATTCTTCCCGTGAATGGACAGCTGCAAACTTGGACTCGAATTACTACAATACTTCTCTGGGGTCACCCCTGGACCCTGGGCCTACAGGGATCAAATATGATCTTGACCGGCATCAGTATAACTATGTGGATGCTGTGTGTTATGAAAACCGCCTTCACTGGTTTGCCAAATATTTCCCTTACCTAGTCCTGCTGCACACACTCATCTTTTTGGCTTGTAGCAACTTCTGGTTCAAGTTTCCAAGGACCAGCTCCAAGCTGGAGCATTTTGTCTCCATCCTGTTGAAATGCTTTGACTCTCCTTGGACCACGAGGGCTCTGTCTGAGACGGTGGTGGAGGAAAGTGATCCTAAGCCAGCCTTTGGGAAGATGAATGGTTCTATGGAGAAGAAATCTTCCAATGTCAGTGAAGATGTGGAAGCCACTGCCCCAGTGCTGCAGAGGACCAAGTCTCGGATTGAGCAAGGAATTGTAGACCGAACAGAGAATGGTGTCTTGGACAAGAAGGAAGGAGAGCAAGCCAAGGCACTATTTGAGAAGGTCAAGAAGTTCCGCACACACGTGGAAGAAGGGGATATTGTCTACCGCCTCTATATGAGGCAAACCATCATCAAAGTGATCAAGTTCATCCTCATCATTTGCTACACTGTCTATTATGTCAACAACATAACCTTTGACATTGATTGCAAAGTGGACATTGAGAGTCTGACTGGCTATCGCATGTATCGTTGTGCTCACCCTCTGGCAACCCTCTTCAAAATCCTGGCTTCCTTCTACATCAGCCTCGTGATCCTCTACGGCCTGATCTGTATGTACACACTCTGGTGGATGCTCCGTCGATCCCTCAAGAAGTATTCCTTTGAGTCCATCCGGGAGGAGAGTAGCTACAGTGACATTCCTGATGTGAAAAATGACTTTGCCTTCATGCTGCATCTGATCGACCAGTACGACCCCCTCTATTCCAAGCGTTTTGCCGTCTTCCTCTCGGAAGTGAGTGAAAATAAGCTCAGGCAGCTGAACCTCAACAACGAATGGACTTTGGAGAAACTGCGCCAAAGGATCACCAAGAACTCCCAGGATAAGTTGGAGCTTCACCTCTTCATGCTTAGTGGCATTCCAGATACGGTCTTTGACCTCATTGAGCTGGAGGTTTTAAAACTGGAGCTCATTCCTGATGTCACCATACCCCCCAGTATTGCTCAGCTCACCAGCCTCAAGGAACTGTGGCTGTATCACACCGCAGCCAAAATAGAGGCCCCAGCCCTTGCCTTCTTAAGGGAAAACCTGAAATCTTTACACATCAAATTCACAGACATTAAGGAGATCCCACTGTGGATTTACAGCTTGAAGACTCTAGAAGAGCTCCATCTGACGGGGAACCTGAGTGCCGAAAACAATCGGTACATTGTGATCGACGGTCTACGGGAGTTGAAGAGGCTTAAAGTGTTGAGGCTGAAGAGCAATTTGACCAAGCTGCCCCAGGTGGTGACGGACGTTGGTGTCCATCTCCAGAAACTGTCCATCAACAATGAAGGGACCAAGCTCATGGTTCTGAATAGCCTGAAGAAGATGGTCAACTTGACAGAACTAGAACTCATCCGCTGTGACCTGGAGCGCATCCCTCACTCTATCTTCAGCCTCCACAACCTCCAGGAGATTGACCTCAAAGACAACAACCTCAAGACCATTGAAGAGATCATCAGCTTCCAGCACCTACATCGCCTCACTTGCCTTAAACTGTGGTACAACCAAATTGCCTACATCCCTGTGCAGATTGGCAACCTTACCAACCTGGAGCGCCTTTACCTTAACCGCAACAAGATTGAGAAGATCCCCACCCAACTTTTCTTTTGCCGGAAACTTCGGTATTTGGATCTCAGCCACAATCTTTTGACTTGCATACCAGCGGAAATCGGAGCACTGCAGAATCTGCAGAACCTCGCTGTTACAGCTAATAAGGTAAGAAAAGAAAGGGAGGGGTGTTTTGTAATAAAATCCCGCTTGGATTTTGCAGTTAAGAGCCAATTCATTGTCAGCCCTTCAAGGTAGATCAGACTAGCCATCCAATGCCATGCAGGTCAGGACTACTTTTATTGTAAAGTTATAGTAACAGAATCTTTCAAGTTTGAATGTGCTTCCCCCTTCCTCCCTTTATATTTGTGAGAACCAGGGAGGGTCTTGTCTGACATGCTTTCTCAGGTTACAGTTCTGGCCCAGACTCAGTTCTCTTTTATCTGATAGTTGTCTTGGTTGCAGCTCTTCTTCCTGTTCTTCAAGTTTATTCCTTCTTCCTATGATTGATTGATAGATAGATAGATAGATAGATAGATAGATAGATAGATAGATAGATAGATAGTCATCCCTTCAAGGTAGACCAAACATGGACACCAAAGACATGCAAGCTAATACTACTTTTATTATAAGTCCATAGTAACAGCATCTTGCAAGTCTGAATGTGCTTCCCCCTCCCTCCCTTTATCTTCATGATAAGGTCTAGGGAAGGTCTTGTCTGAGACCCTTTCTCAGGTTACAGTTTTGCTCCAGACTCAGATTTCTTTTATCTGACCATGGTCTTGGTGGCGGCTCTTCCTCCTGTCCCTCAAGGCCATTCCCCTATCCCTCTACATCCATTAAGGGGCCACTCTTGGAGATACTCACACAGGAAGAGCCTCCAAGCACTTGTAGTTTCTGATTCCAAAGTTATACCTCTTCTTTTCCATTCTAGGATTTTTCTTGTCCCATTCCTTCCAGGATAAGCTGGATAGCAAAAGTCAGAGGTGAATAATGGCAGAGGAAAAATGATTTTTAAACAGCTCGCTGGGGAGTTTCCTTCTCTTTTTGGGAGAAGAATTATTGCAAAAACAAGAGGGAGACTGCGGACTTTTCCTTGGTCAGACCTGGGCCCTTCTAGATAGGTGTCCTTCAGCTCCCAGAATGCCTTAGCCAGCATGATCATTACCAGGAATTCTGGGAGTCCAGTTCTGAGAATTGAGATTTGGGAATTCTAGGACTTCAGTTCTGAGAATTCTGGGAGTTCAAGTTCTGGGACTTCTGGGAGGTCAGTTCTGGAAGTTCTCCTAGCTTAGAGATGCGGGAGATCAGATCCTTTGTGGAGAAGAACAAAGGACATCATTTGAATCTGGTGTGTTTCTGACGATTATACGAACTTGATGGATAGGAATATTTGGAAAATCAGAAAGATGCAAAATGGATCCAGGGATAATTGATTGCACAGATAATTTCTTAAATGCTCCTGAGAAGCAAACGCTGGTCTTAACGTTCTTCAGGATTTCATTCCCTTCTTTTCAGGCCCAGCCTTCCTTAGGTCCATCTTTTCCTAACATACAGAGCCACCTGTATCAGATCATCATACAGTTATATCCTGCTTTGCTTCTGGGATTTCAAAGGCTCCACTCTCTGCGAGGCAGGTTTGAGCTGCAAGTGAGCGTCCCACCCAGAGTCACGTAGGGACTTAAGAACTTAAGATCCTATTCCAGGTCGGTCTGCCCTCACAATCCCTGGGGAGTTAGATTTCTCTAATTCTGTTATAAAACTGCCAAAGCTGGCAGCCGTCCATATCTTACAGAAGGAAGTTCCCCTGTTAAAAAATGGTTTCACAAGGTCATGCCTGCTTTCTTATGCCAGCGTCGCCCCTCCGTCCTCCCAACCCACCCGTTTCTAAACTGAGAAGTGCCATCCTCTCTTGCTTCCTGAAACGGATCTTTGGAAAACAGAATAACGTATTTAACGCTTTATTAAAATCCATTCCTTGCCCTTCAGGCAGAGGTTTCTAGTCCCGTAAAAATCCAAGGTTTTCTGGATTGGTAAAAACTTGCTTTTTTTTTTCCAGCCACCTGTAGTTCTGGCCAAAAGAAAACAACTTTCCACTAAGGTTTATATTCTTCTAATTTTGGGGTACGAGCCCTCTTCCTCTTTTCTCCGGGCTCCCCATATTTAGACAATGTGTTTGGACTGACCGAAGACGCGATGAGGCTTTTAGAGGCAGAACCTCCCAAAGGTTGCACCCTTTTAATATAGGCCTTTCTTTTTGGGCTTGACAATTATACGAACAGCACTGAGCTGAAATAACACAGCTCTGTGTACCTTTTGGGGGGGCAGTGTTTACTTGTCCAGGGCTTAAAATAAAAAAGAGGGATCAAGCATGAACTGGCTATTTTATCAGAAGGTTCGCCCAGTGCTGCAAAAGTAAATAACATTTTGGTGTGACTAAAGTGGGTTTATCAGAGAACAGGCTTGCTAGAAACCTCTTTAATGAAAAGGGTCTTAAAGATTAAAAAAAAAGCTTGTTCTTTTATGCAATAGGCCAGGACAAAATCTAATCCAGGATTTTTTATTTTTTTTTTAACTACTATGACATAGCTTTCACTTCATAGGAATTCGGTGCCAGCATAAGGCCACTGTTAACAAAACTGTAACTACATGTAGTGAGTCACGGCTATTAGTCATTACGTTATTTTTTTATGTCTGTCTTTATTATAATCGATAATTACCTGGAGGATTAATTTGAGTCTTTAAAAAAAAAAAGAATTGGAGGGTTAGGTTCCAAGCCTACGGATGTCATCTTCCTGTGACTGTTTTTTTTTCTTTTAATTAAAAAAAAAATCAGTCAATTTTAATGAACAAGCCAAAAGAAAAGAATAATACACTACAGCAGTGATAATACAGTAATTAACCGTGTACATTGCAGTGATTAAATTAAACATAGTAAATGAAGCGAAAAACAACTCTGGGGGGGGAAAAGAAAAAATAAGATCCGTAGGATATTGAAATAACATTAATTCAGGCTTTAAATGCATTACTAAATCTAGACTTTATAAAAACATGTTTCCATGTTATTTTTAAAATATAAAGGCATTTTGAAAATGGATAAAGACGCATATCTTGAATCCATCCCTTGACATCGGGAACCTAAATTTCTTTCCGTCTGCATAAAATAATTCCCAACCTCCAGGCTCTGTAAAACCAGAGTTGTTCATAAAAGAAGCTGTATTTTGGGAATATAATTCAACATTGCATTTATATCTTTTAATGATGATATTTTCCCAAGGCTACATTAACATATGTCGTAAGCTGAAACCCAAAGGGAACCACGAGACCAAATCACATGAGTCCGAGAACCCTCCGATGTCTTACGAAGTGCGAAGGGACGTAGAGTTAACCTTGAGAAGAGGGGAGAAGAAGGAGAGAGAGCCATCAATAGATTGATATTCTGCCTGTCCTGTGGGAGCTCACCCCACCTTCACTTTATCCCCCAAAGAACAACCTTGTTGAAGGAGTTGGGCCAAGAGGGAGCAGCTGGCCGAGAACCACCCATTAACCCTTCCCATTTGGGGTCCCGTGGGTTCTTCCTGCAGCCTTGGAAGGAGTTTCCCATTTTGGAAAGACCCCCTCGAAATCCCCCACCGGTGGTCTTTCTCTCCACGAGATAAGGGGATTGTTTTCCACAATGGCCGGCTTCGGTCGGTCGTTTCAAAGGGAAGGTATCAATTACTCCTTTCTCGGAGTATATTTGCTGCAACCTGAGATCTGTTGCGCTTGGCATAAACTGAATTTGGCGACAAAGAGCTTCCTGAACCACTGGATTAAGCCTCTCACTTAGTGCAGGCATTTGCAGCCTCTCTTCCCCCTTGTCTGACTTCTTTTTTCCACGAAGTCCAGGGGGATGTCGAAACTTAGGACCCGGAGGGACAATGGCGGTTTGTCTGAGTAAAGGGACCCTCCTGTTGCATTTTTTTAAAAATAGCAGCTTCCTTTCTTTATAATATTGATTTCCACCCAGACAAATGAAGCTTTAATTTTCCCCCTTAATATGTATTTTTGCATCCTGCTCTTTATTTATCTTCAGGATGTTGCATTTAGTTTTGCTTTGTTAAGCATCTTCCTTGTTCTGTGGAAGGAAGAATTCTCTGGCCTCAACATCTTCCCCTCCCCTCCCCTCCCCTCCCCTCCCCTTCCCTGATAACGTTAAGATCATTTTTTCTTAGATCATATAAAAAGAACTGTCACAGCCATTCTTCTCAACAAATCAAGAAATGGATCAGTTGGCAGGGAAGGAGAAATTTTACAATTTCCAGTGCAGGCGGGCCCTTCTGTCCAGAAGTCCCCTCTAGACTTCTACAGCTGACAAGTTGTATGCTTTAATTTTACCACCAGAATTTCTTGACTGTTTGATCGTTCCACTGATCTGCTTCATTTTAACTGGGTTCACAGATGTTAAGCCACGGCTGGTTTAATGAGAGTTTATGCAATGAGCCAGAATGGACTGGGTTCACCCCACACACTAAGCCCCAGCGAAACAAACCCCGTTGCAGCCTCGCACAGACCCAAACGGTGCAGCAATGCAAATTTGGAAAAGCGGGTCATTGTCAGACCGTGACATATTCACGGCCCCCTTTGTTCTCCAGTTTACTTTCAGCTGGAAAAAAAATCCAGCTACATTAATGAGCTTTAAGAAGCTTGAGCGTATCGAGTGCCCGGGTCAGGTCCTTCCTCAGTACAAAAACCTCCACAACACGATCCCCACCCCACCCCACCCCTGAGAAAAAAGCTAGATTTTATTTTAAAAGACAGGGCATCATTGCTGGTGTCAGCACAATTTCCAAATTGGGGATTTCTTCGTTTTGCTTTTCGCGAAAAGAAAGAATGAGGAACAGTCGCTGGATGTCCTTTTGCAACAATGCAAACGAGCCAATTCCCTTTTTTTCTTTTTCTTCCCCCCCCCCAGTTCTGGGCACGGGTCCAGTTCCCTCAAGGCTGACCGGCAATGGGAGATTTTCTTTTGTCGATGGATAAGGCTTCGTTCTTTATTTTGAAAGGAGGACTTGAAAAGTTCTACCCCTGGGAACGCTTTACGCGGGAATTCTGGGAGTTGGCAGTCCTGCGGCATCTGGGGGGCACCATTGTGGGGAGCCCTGCTGTGGAAACTCCTCTTAAAACCACATGGCGGGTCACGTGCATGTCAAGTATCCCCACCGTGCACAATTCAAGCACTTGCTCACCACTGGCGAGTTGAAATCTTCTTTAGGCGACCACCTAGAGGAAAAGTTCTGCTAAAGGTCTGGGTGGTCCTTCAGGCCCCGCTGGAGCGGAAGAGGCCTTTGGGGATTGTCTTGCAGGCCTGCGTTAAGGTAGAATGTAATGTCCCCTAAATTGTTGCTCTGCTGGGTTAATGGCCGATAAAGCCGAACTGGTCTTGTAGGTTAGTTTGTGGAGGGACTTGGGACCGAAGTGAGACAATTTGGAGTTTTTGGATTGCAAAAGTTACCCCAAAGAAACCTTTTCCCATCCAGACATTCTCTCTCCAGGCCCTTTTCCTAATATTCATGGAGCAGGACCGTCACCTCTTATTCCTTAAAGCAGCGTTTCTCAACCATGGTAGCTTTAAGACGCGGGGACTTCAACTCCCAGAATTCCCCAGCCAGCATGGCTGGCTGGG